AGAGGGTGGAGGGTGGAGGGTGGAGGGTGGTTTCTAGAGGGGTAGTCTCCCCCATCCATCCCCTTTAAGCTTTCCTGGAGACTGGTCTAGATTGGAGTTTGAGACTCCAGCCTCTGAGAATATCCCAAAGGCTGTCTCTGGGGGCTCGGCTGTGACATTAACTAGCTAATCTGAGTTCTCCTTGAATCACACTTCCCAGGTGAGGCATCACAGCCTTGTGGGCAGCTGGTAGACAGGCTTTCCTCCCCAAATCAGACACTTTCTCCTGGCAGGGAAGCCAAGAGGAGGGAAATGACTCACCCAACACCACAGACTTCTGGTCAGTGACAAAGACGTGAGCCTGGGTTTCTGCCTGGCTGGCTTTGTTCCTTCACTGAGGATTTGATAACCTACATCATTTAACATTTCCCACTCACGCTGAGTGTTTCACAGGTATCTTCTCACTTATTCTTTACAGAAACTCTGAGTTAGGTCCTTATACATGTAAGGAGTCAGAGGCTCAGAGAAGTTAAGTAACTGGCCCAAGGGGACCGAGTTAGATGCTGGCAGGCTGGATTTGAACCTTAGTTTGCTTCCTTAGCTCAAAGGAGATGTGGAGTCAGGAAGCAACTGGTGGCTTGGGGGTTTTAGCTATAAATACCGGTTCTTCAGTTAATCTGTGTGAATATCTTTGTTGTTGTTTTGTTTTTTTGAGATAGGGTTTCTCTGTATAGCGTTGGATCCTGTCCTGTCACTAACTCTGTAGACCAGGCTGGCTTTGAACTCACAGAGATCCACCTCTTTCTGCCTCCCAAGTGCTGGGATTAAAGGTGCACGCCACCACTGCCTGGCTCTAGGCGAACATTTTAATAGTCCTTATGAAGAATTGCATGTTGATTTCAGAGTAACCCAACATGAAAAAAAAAAGAAAGAAAGAAAGAAAGAAAGAAAGAAATTCGGAAAAAATGCTCTTGATCCAATCTCCTCCAACTCCTCCTGGCTCCTGTCACACACACCCTGAAATCTGCTGGGCAAGCAGAGGGAGGAGCCTGGCACAGGGCAGCCTCTCTGGGTTGATGTCCTCTGGCCCACAGTGTCTGCCTTCAATTCTCTTTAAATCTGCTTCTCTGTCAGGGTGTGATACATAGATGCATGGCCTCTGGCCTGGCCAGTTCCTGAACTTTGGGCTGCTAGGACTCACAGTCCATCAGGGGACAGACTGTTCCTCCCTTGTTGGGGCTTGAGATGAGGCAGTTCTGAACTGATGCAAGCTGGAACCTCTGATTGCTTCAGAAGGCCTGAACTTCCAGGGATTGAGAAAGCAGGGGGTGGGGGTTAAAAATAGCCTTGTGTTCCCATTGTCCTCCCCAGGGCCACAGATGTACAACTGAGGCATGTCGTGGTATGGGATTCATCATGTCACAGAGGCACTTGTCCGTGACTGGGGCCTCATGGTCCCCTGGACCATACCCTTCCGGACATCAGGGTTGGCCAGGCCAGCAGGGGACCAGGAAATCTTGATGCCATTGGAAAAGCTGACAAGCAGGAGAGTGACACTAGTCAGACCCTCTTCCTTCTGGCTGTCATGACATCCCTGCCCAGGCAGAGCACTAAGTGAAACCGTCAGTCCTGTCCTTATGGGTTCTCACAGTCACCCCCATCTCCCAGGACCTATTGCAATCCTTGCAGCTGGCAGACTGTGGTGGCCCCCTGTGCCCCTCCAAAGACTGGCAGGGGCAGCACCTTCTCTGGGCCTGGGACCCAGCAAAGCGCCCCACTGATGCCTCCTGTGTGGTTGATGGGCTGAGGAAACAAGGGAACAAGACAAGACGTGGAGGGACAAGAAGGGAAGACCATTGGAGTGTGGGGTGGGGGGCAGAGCGTGCTGGGGAGGAGAGTGCCAGGTGCTTCTGAGCATTCCCGTCTGTGCTGGACCAGGGGAGGAGGATGCTGTGTCCCTTCCGATCTTGCAGAAAGTGAAGTTGGGGCCACACAGCTAGGCAGTGATGTGGGGTATGTATGGGGGGGCACTTGGAACCAACTCTGCCCCTGAGACTTTACCTTTGTCATCCCAGAGAAGCAAGATGGGAGGGAAGGGAGGGCAAGGAGAATGGAGTAATGCTACCTTGACTTTGGACCCTCCACCTCAGCTGAGCGACCTCCTCCCCATTAGCCAGGCTCTCTTGGAACTCCCCCTCCTCTAGCTCATCTGCTGGGCCTCCCTATTCAGGGAGGGACTTTGGGGTCTGTAGTTCCTGGGTTCAGATGGAGCTGCCTACCCTTGTGGACAGAGTCACTGTGAAGTGTGATGCTTGTCACGGAGGGGCCAGGGACATGTCCTTTGGAAGGGATTTGTGTTGCCCTGGGGAGAGTAGGTCCCTGTTGAGATGTTGGGAGGTGCTCCAGGCTTTACTGTAGGAGCATCAGTGCTGAGGAGGAAGAGAGCAATTCCAGGGGTCTGAAGGCTGAAAGCGTCTGAGGGCTGGACTGCAGCATGGTAAGCAGGAGGTGGACAGAGGTCCAGGGCTGGGGAGGCACAGGTGCGGGCCAACCTGCCAGAACTGTGTGTTGAACCCTCTCCCCTCCCTCTCTCTCTCTCTCTGGAAAGCACTGGGGAGAGGAAGCCAGGAGGCAGCTGCACAGCCGCCTTAGTAGGAGCCCCTGAGGTCTCTGGACTGGGAAAGCTGGAGAGAGTGGAGGGCTTGGGAGGTATTTAAAAGCTTCAAGCTTTCTCAGGGGAGTGGTTAGCGGGAAGCCAACCCTGGGCCCATCTGTGTGGCACAGAGGTCCTGATGCATTCGTTTGTTGATGAAAATTAATTGTAAATATTATTCAAATGTACCTCCCAGTGCGCAATTATACTCCTCAGGGGAGTTCTCTGAGTACATCAGGAAACCGTGTAAATAATACATACATTAGCCCCGGTGCAGAGGCGAGCTAATGCTGCTGTTGTGGTGGCAGCTGTGGGAATTACTCTGGGCACTTGGACTGGAGGTTAGCCTTGGACAACCAGATCTGCCTCCTGCAGAGGACGGGTACAACCCTAGGCATGCTTCCCTGGTCACTGGCCAGATGGGGACCCAGAGCTGGGAGCGGAGGAAGACATGAAGTTCTGAAGCATGCCCACCTGGGCTGGGAGGCTCAACAGCTGCTGCAGTAACATTGTGATTATGTGGGTGTGTTCAAATCTGGGGCAAGCATTTCTGTCTCGTTGAATCTTTATGGAAAGACCATGAAAAATTTGTGCTAAGACCCAGTGCCATGTCTGTAGATGGATGGATGAAATTGAGAGATTTAGACAGGTGAGGTGAGCTGTGCAAGGTTGCACAGCTAGTGAGACCTGAGAGCCAAGCCCTGTCTGTCATCTGTCTGTCTGGAAAGCTCTTGCTTTCCCCAGTTACTTGGTCAGTCTCTGCACCCCCAACCTTTTGAGGTGGGGTGATGAGAGTCTGAGGGACTGCCTTGTCCTTGGAGGGGAGGACATGGTGTTCACAGGCCTTATCAGTTCCTCTCAGCCTGTGGGTGTAGGAGTTCGGGAGAGATACAACAAGTTCATCCCTTCTCAGCCCCCTATTTTCCCAGATCATGAAACTGAACAGGATATAAATAGTTTGGGGACCACCCCCCTCTTCAATGAGAGGGTGTGACCAAGTTCCTGAGAGTCACTTTTAAAATGTCAGCTTAGATACCTGGAGTTCACCAAGCTGCCCTCTTCATGACTAAGCTTTGAGTGCCAGCTTCAGTGACCACCTGCCCAAGGTTGAGCAGAATCCTGGCTGAAGTTGAGTCAGGTCTTGGCAAAACCCACTTCAGAGTACAAACAAGATATTTCTAAGACGTCTTCACTATTGCCCTGGATGTGGTTGAGATTGTCTTCTGGACCTGGGAGGTAATGATGGGGTCACTTCCATATAATAAAACCT